AGGCAGTGCTTGAAGATTCTTACAGTCCAAGTCTGAAAATGACATGGAATTCCTTCCACGGTTGGAGTAGTCCAAAAGCAGCCCTACATTAATGAGAGGGTTCACAGACCCTATCCCTTGATGGGAAGGGGATAGAAGAATTATGGCCATCTTTTCCACTGTCAGTAGATTTCTATGTTGTAAATATAGCCTTTTCAACTCTTCATAATTTACTGTTTATTTATTATTCAGAAAAAAATTCTATTAATATTCTAATGCTAAATTGCATAATGCTAAATGCATAATATTCTAATGCTAAATATTCTAATGCTAAATTAATATTCTAATGCTAAATTCTTGCTAAATTGAATACTATTGTCCAATTTATACTATTTAGCAAACAATCATAGTGTACGTTTTGTTTTACAATTTTGTACTAAACAATGTTCTGTGAAAATTATTGCCTACTGGTAGACATTCTTCTGTGGTGTTTGAATGGCCTTGCATTATTCCTTAATATGAAATAACTCCTATTTTTGGAAGATCATCTAAATTCTAACATAAATAATACTATTAAGAACATTCTTGTCCTTACACACTCCTGTAAATATTTCCTTGTAAATATTCTTTGACATGGAATAATTAAGTCAAAATATATGTGCATTTTAAAGATTTTTTTGTAAGAATTGGTAAACTACCATTTATAGATGAGCCAACTTACATACACACGAGCACATATATCACAAAATGATCTGTCTTTGATTTGTGTGGGCCATCTACCCATACAACCTGTCTCCATTTGCCACCTAACTGGGCACTTTTTCTTCTGCCAGTCTTGTAAATTCTTGTAGGAATTTATTCCTGATGTTCAGGAAGTCATAGGAATCTATTAACCAATTATTCTTTTACAGCTTCTGTGGGTCTCTGCATTTCTTCTGGTTCTTCTCTCTGGAAGCCCAAATGAAATCAATCTGGCAATAAAACTGAATAGGGTGTGAATATTTAAATAAAGTATATGCATGTTGTTATGACTCCTTAACCTTTTGCTCAGAAATTCTCAGTAGCTTACAGCATGACTCACACTAAAACCTTAAGGTCTTATGACTACTTTGAATTAGCTGTACAGATTCTGTTTCCTCACTCTGTCTAACCTTGTTTCTGCTAATACATCCTATATTCTTCTTCAACCACACTGGTTTGTCCAGGTATTCTCAAGCACTCTAGGAATAAACCTACCTCAGGAACTGTACTTAAGGTTTACTTCACCTAGATTCTTTTTCATGAGATATATATGTGTCATGTTCACTTTCTTCTTCCCTTGCTTAAATGTTACCCTCTCAGGAAGGGCTTTCTTCTTTAATCAATATAAAATTGCGGAGACATTTCAGATCCTGTCATTTATGTCTTTTTTCCTTTACCATGTATCATTCTTTAATATGACTTGTATTTTATTTTATATATTGTATATTGTCTTTCAACTAGAATGTGAGCTCCACGAAGGTAGAGATTTGGACCTCTTTAGTTTATTGCTGTGTCCCCAGTTTTAACAGTAGTGTATAGCACATAATAGCTGCTCAATGAATATTTCCTAATAAGTGATTTGTACCACTGCTATTTCCATTTGTAAATACAAGAGCAGAATCCCTGCTTGTCATATAGGATTTTCTTTATCTACTAGGACACAGTCTGGGTGACTCTTGTTCGCTACTCATTCTGTTTTCTACATGGGAACCTCAGAAACAGTTGTTTATTCCAATTCATCTCTCATAAAAAACAAGTAAGTAGAAAAAACAGACAAACAAGTATGTGGACTAGGAAAAATTGTTTAAATTTTCTTCAGTAGGCCACAGTCTTTTTCATGTGTAAAAAGATTTTCCTTTTTTCACCTATTGCTTTGTAGTTGAACCAAACACAGCAGCATAAACAAAAGTGCTTAGCACTATACATAGCAAAATTTATATTGGAAAAATATATCTATTACTTTTTTCCCTTTGTTTTCCTTGCACAGTAGAAGTTTGAGGAAAAATTCATTTGAGTAATGTTATAGTTTATATCTAAATGTCCCCCTCAAGGCCTCAGGTGCTCACAGATGGGGCTTCTGGGAGGTATTTGCATCATGGTGGTGTGATTCTCATCCATGGGTTGGTCCACTGGTGAGCTTATAGCTAATGTGACACTGGGAAGTGAAGTCTGGCTGGAGGAGGGGGGTCACTGGAGTGTGACCTGGAAGGGTCTGTCTCACTCTTTCCTACACTGATCTCTCTCTGCCATGCTGTGAGCCATGTCTCCTCTCATGCTCCTCTGCCATGCCACCCTGCCTTGAAGCCAGCCAGTTATGGACTGAGACTTCTACAAACTGTGAGCCAAAATAAACCTTTCTTCCTTTAAGATGAGTGTGTGGGGTATTTTTTCCCCAGTTAGGAGAAAAATAGCTAAGATATGTAACATCTCACTGTAATAGAGAAGCAATAACGGTACTATAAGGTTTGGCCTTGAAAAAAATGGAAATTTTTCTATTAACTTCTAATGTAGTATTACATAACAATGCTAATCTGGCCTTTCTTATGCCCTCCAATATCTTGCCATCTTTTTCCTGGTTGTTGCTGATCTAAAGAAATTATACTGGTGATTTGCTGAGACCGTTTTTGTTTGTTTAATGTAGCTATTTCCCATTTGCTATGTGACATCTGGATTTCCTGTCTCCCTAGATAACTGCGAGCCAGTTAATTATAGCCTGGGTGGTGTGAAGCAGATGTTTTTGGGACATCTTTGAAATGGAGCTTAGGGAGTCCTTAGGATTCCATTTCAGGACTGCAGCGTGTCTGGGGTCTTTCTTTAGCTGGGAGCCTATTCTGTATTTGCACCAGGTTCAGAGAGGGGATGTTTGTCAGATTTGGGAGCATAAATGTGCGCCGTATGTGTATCAGGCCTTGGCTCCCAGGATATTTACAGGTACAAAGAGGGAAACCAAAGTAACTATCAGGGTGTTTTCTCACCCTACTTTGTCCTAATTATGACTCCATTTTTGTTGGGTCCTGAGGAACTGCGATTGTCTGCTTTTGTCCTGTGTATTGCTAGCAGTAGTTTCTTTTCTACTACCCTAAGTGACTATCAAAATAATGTCAACAAGGTACTTTCATTACTAATGTTCAAAGTATAAACTTATGTAATCTATTTTAATTTAAGCTTTTTTATATAACATGAATGAGGGATCGTCTTACTTAATTCCCTTAAAATCTAGAGTCCAATTAATTCTATAGAAAACCAGGTTTCAGAATTGTCTTTCTTCTTTTTTATTGGTACTGTGAGTCTTTGACCTGAGCTACATCCACAACCTTTCTAAATTTTTATTTTGACTCAGTATCTTGCTAAGGTGCCCAGGCTGGGTTCCAGCTTGTGATCCTCCTGTCTCAGGTTCCCAGAATGCTTGGATTTCAGGTGTCTACCACCATGCCTCACTCACAGCTGTCTCGTAATCATAAACTAACAAAAACATCTGGAAGTTAAAAGATCATGAGTAAGTGATCACTATGTAAAGAGGCTTAAAACCCTCTGGAGATGTGTTTGTCAACCTACTCAACAGTGACTATTGGCAGCGCTTCCTCTCTTGTATCTTTGTCTGAACCTTCGTTCTGTTTTCACTTCCTCGGCCCATGCTCCTCTTCTCTCACTGGGACAAAAACAGGATTGACAACATTTCCAAGAGTCTACACTGAGGTGGGATGAACTGTGGTGTGCTTTGAGTGTTGTTGTTTTGAGGTATCATTTGTTCATTTTTCTAATAGATGTCAGGTTCCAGAGTGAGTAGTGGATACCATATCTATTGGTGACTCATGTGTAGAGCCTAGATCGACCCATTAACAAGTTCTGCAGGCTTCAAAGGGTTATTGTAGAGAATTTGAACTCCAAGCGACTGGAGTTCCCCTCTTGATTAACTTGACAAAAGACACTTTCAGTGTAGATTAACCTTAGTAGTTACTTCCCACCAGTGATGAAAGGGAAGCATCTTGAAGGGGCCATTTTCCTCTCCTAATGTGTTATGGTAGCTTTGTTCCTGTACAGAACACAACCCATGAAGCTCATGTACCTTCCTGTCAGTACCTCATCATGTTCTTAGGCTCCTGGAAATGTTGTCAACCCTCTGATCTTGTTTGTGTATGTTGTGTGTATAATTTAAGGACATGATTTCCAAACTTTTCACTATCATTATCTTCTTATTCTGACCCTCCTCACTTCTACATCTCTAAAAGATTGTTTACCTCACATTTGTATTTATCAGAACTAAACATGTTCTTCTCTAAAAATAATCACTTTGAGAAGTTATGGTTATCGGGTAACACTTCCGTTAATCTATAGTATTAAGGCAATAGTGTCGCATAAACATCTGCCTTTGTGTGTTTTAGAGTTTCTAAACATCCAGGTATAAAAGAAGGAGAACTACTTGATAAAGTATTGATAAATTCAGCGTGAGATACAGGATCTCTAGGCAAGTTTAATTCTTAGAAAATCAGTATATTATTCATGTGTATATTTTTAAGTCTTTGGGCTGTTTTTCCAGAGAATAAGAAACATTTAGCACACAGCTGTAATTTACAAAGATAAACATCATGATTTTAAGTGTGTTAAGAAAAAGCATTTCTTCTAGCGGTGTTTCAGCTTTTCCACATTTTGTAGAACATTCATGGTCACAAAGTTCTCTACTTTTTATGCCTCCTGATTTACCACTGGGGATGTTAGAACAGCCTTTCTTTTCTTATCTTTAGAAGTTATTTCCTTCAGCAAATAAATTATTCTAAGTGTGTACTCTTGAGATTTATAACTGTGAATATATTGTGGAATTACTGGATTTTAAACTTTTCAATAATACATTTTAAACTTTTCAATAACACATTTGCCATATTCTGACTGCAATTATGAGTAAATTATGAGGCAAACTAGGATGGGTAATGTGTGCACGCATTGAGGAAATATTATAATTCCACACTGAAACATTAAGTGATAACTCATATTTCTTTCTCCAGAGACTGGATCCCCAATTACAGCATCATGTGTTGGATTAGGTAACTCTAAAACGCCTCCACCAGGCCAAGCAGGAAAAAGTGTTCCCGGATACAATGGTAAGAAGTAACCCTGACAGTCTGAAATATGTAATTGAAACACTATAATTTGAAATACCGATACATTTGACATTTCCTATACATGCTGTGTCCTATATTGCATAAAACAAACTAGGTGTTTAATAAGAATTTGAATAAAGTAATGCTTTCTATTAAAAATGAATGCATTGATTTTTGCTATCAAAAGTAATAGTATGGCCTTCCAGGGACATTTTCTAAAGGGCTGTGGTAGCCAAGATAATATCATTTATAGGACACTTTAAGAAAATGTGGGGGCTGGGGATTTAGCTCAGAGGCAAAGCGCCTGCCTGGCAAGCGCAAGGTCGTGAGTTCGGTTCCTGGTACCGGAGAAAAACCAAAAAAAACAAAAAAAAAAAAAAAAAAGAAAATGTGTATGCGATTACTATGTATGGAGCATGTGCTAAATGCCCAATACTTACGTATATCATTTCATTTAATGCTGAAGTATATTTCATTTAGAGATATTATTGTCATTTAGATAGGGGTAATGTGATTCTGATGGAGACTAAAAACGTTCCTAGGATAGCTCAGCAGGTTAGGTCCTCAGGACAATTTTGCTTCCTGGCTTTCATTGTAAAAGCCTTAGTTTCTTCCATTACACATTAAATTCTTTTAATTTAAGAATGATAACAAGGCCTTGAAACTTGTTGGTAAAACTAAATACAAAAAGAGTAAACATTCTAAAAGAAAACATTTCTTTGATGCTGACTTTATGTGGCAGGCATCCTTTCAATAGAAGCAATCATAAAAATTGTCATATTTCTAAATAAGGGCAATAATTTTATATACTTCCTAGGGTTGTTAAATTGTAACATTGCATAGCAAAACATGAACACCTTAGCTACAAGGAGAAGGTTGAAATTCATCCTTAGCTAGTGATGCTCCAGATACTTACAGAACGGCCAGGAGAACTGACTTGATTCAAACCCACACACTCATTTCACAGTCAAGTGAAATGAGTCACAGAGGTTACACAGTTTATATAAGGTCATAAAATGTAGTGTAATAGATTTATGAGGAAAAGCCAGTTTCAGGGGACAGAGTATGATTCTTAACATGCTATTTATTTGCATATAAATTACAAAATTTAGAAATTTATCTTTTCTCCTCTAATATAAAAATACTGCATTTTCCTTTTTGGACAAAGTGTAGTTAAGAAAATGTAGATCGTTTAGTTTAACCCAGCAGATATATTTATAAAAAGACACTTTAGATTTTTTATGTAGGGCAGATTCTTTTCTTTTTTATTCTGTGAAGTGAGTGACTTCTTTAGTCATGTATAGGTGAACCTAGCTTTAGTGAAGTCCTCCATTTGAACAGTTCACCCATCCTTTTCTTTCTAGGGGAGAAATTGCTTTTGTGTTGAGACATTTTTGGGGGATGCTGTTTGTGAGAGATTTTAGATGCATTTCCCCTTTAGTATTTCAGTTCCCTTTTTATACCTACTTGTAAGAGTTAAGCTTTGATATTTCGTGGAGGTTCAACATAGAAGTTTCTTTGTCCAATAGCTACTGGCTTTAGACAAAACAAGTTAAGCTTTTATAATTGAGGAACCAATAAATTTATGGCTGATAACATTTATTAAGGTTCAAATCCATAATATACTATTCAATATTATTATAAAAAAGCAAGATACTTTTGCAGAAGGGGAAAAAAAAATCCCTTTCTGTGTGAAAAAACATTATTACATGTAATCTAATAATTTCAAATTCACTGAATATCTTTGTAAATTTGTCATTTTATATATATTTCCCTCAATAATTCTTAGGACAATACAATAACAAGGAAATTGTTCCCAATTTGTAGATGGAAAAACTGAGAGATAACGTAGACCATTACCAGAAGCACATAGTCATTTAGCCAATGTCCTGGAATTGGGAAAACAAAAGATAAAATAGGCATGGCTTGCACCTTTAATAAACTCACAACCTAATATTATATTTATAACTCTGCTAGTGTCAAAATTGTGTTTTAAACCACAATGTTCCAGGAACACAGAGAAAGGAGTGATTCATTTTCCCTCCTGGAAATGATATCCTCTTCTAGCTGCTTACAATGGAATTACGTAGATAAATGGAGTCACATAAAGAAGCTATTAAGGCCTACATGATGATGATTTATCTCCATGTCTACTTTGCAGTAACAGTCACTGAAAGTGGGTGTAAGCTTTGATATAAACATATTCCAGATTTTATTAAGATAGCACAGAAAGCATTGGGATAATGATTGGGAAGATTAAATTAACCCAGTTTAAATCTCATAAGAAGGTATTAAGAGTTAGGTCAAAATAGGGCTTTTCATACTTTTACATGCTTCGTTTTTACTGCATGTAACCTTTGTGATGTATTTTAAAACTATTTCCTTTAATGTTGAATAAGTGAACAAATGTTTTTCAGCTTTCTTCCCTGAATGGAAGGGTATAAGTGGATGTAGGAGTAGATTATAAAGTTATCAGCATGTATGAAATACAATGTATTCAAGAGATATTTAGAAGGAAAATTTTAAGATGATATGATTTTAGTCCCATTTTTATTTATGTTCTACTTTGTAGTTATGATTCTGGATGACAACATGCAAAAACTGAAGGCTCGGTGTTTAGGGAACATTGTGGTAAAGTAAGCAAAACTTTCAACGCTATTATTTAAAAGGACAAGTGCTATGTTGAGGGGTGATAGACGATTTCATTGATAGTTACAAGTAAGGAGGTTGCAGAATGAACTCTTGTGTTTGAGGTTTGTGCAATGCTGTTGTGATTTAAACTGGGCAGAACTATATAAGACAGCAAACTTAGACACAGTTTTAAAAAAATAAGTATCTTGCAATGTTTGAATAACTTCCCTGATTATATCAGTGATAAAAATATGATAAAAGCAATTTATATGTAAAAATATAGACAAGTAAGCCTTCTGTTCTCTTACACCTCAGCATACACTGTTAATAGCATAATATGCCATCCTGAGCTACAAAATAATGTTTTCATCAATGATGGGTTATGTATATGATGGTACTACTATCAGATTATGTTGGGGCTAAAAATTCCTCCAGCCTATGACACTGTCATACTCATAGGTCACTGTCAGTCATAGAAGTCAAACCCATTATGTCGCTAGTCTTATAAAACTATGTAGCACATACAATAGTGTACCATACATGACGACAATAAACAACTATTATTACTTTGTGTATTTACTATGTTGTAGTTTTTAATCATTATTTTAGAGTACTTCTACTTATAAAGAAAAAGTTTCCTATAAGTAATATTGTCCTTTATGCTGACAATAGCCTCATAACTCTCATGTTTATTGTGTCTATTGATTTAATCAAGAGACTATGCCAAGTGACTGACTTACACACTAGGTTTGTGTAAAAACCCTTTACAGTGCTCACACATCAGCACATAACCCATCATTAAGAGACATGTGAGTGCACATGATTGCTAATGTCTTGGCAAGCATTTTATACTGGTGAATCAGGTAAACCTATTTTGGGGAATTATGTACTGCTTTTCCTTAATCCTGTCTCAGAGAAATGTTGTTTTTGAGATGCCAGGGGTTGAACTCAAGGCCTCACACATCCTAGGCCAATGTACTACTACTGAGCCAAGATTTTTAGTGTTTTCTCTGTCCTTTAAAAATATTCATTTCCATTGTTGGTCTTCTAGTCCTTTCCGAACACATTTGACTATAAATTATACTGTATTGAATGTCTTTTTGGTTTTGGATTTTCTTCTTTTCTAACAGTTGCTACAATATTGAATAGATTTCCAAATGGGTAATTACTGGATCAAAATGTAGTATATTATAAATTCTTGACCAAATACCATAATTCTTTGTTAATATTTTTCATCACTGTTTATTTGATAGGCAACAAGTACTAAAATCTGAAGTGAAGATATTTACATTTACTTTGATTAAAGCCACAATTTAAAATTGTTATGCTAGCAAAATCTGAAATGAAACTTGATTAGGGTGGGAACCAAACAAATATTTGACATTTAAATAATTGACACAGGTTGCCTTACCGCTGGTTATTGTTATTTTTTCATATCTTTATAATATGGTTTAAGTAGCAGAATGTATCAGAATACACTGCTATAAATAAAAACTATCATATGGCAGGTCTTACAAGAGATTTGTTGTTTCACTTATTTCTATTAAATGTCAAAATAATTCTTAGTACTTGGCATCCTCAGATTTATATAAGACTGCCTCTCTTTAATATTTTAAATGCTATGAAATTTACAAGTAAAGCAGTAGTGAAAATGTATCACTTGAAGTAGATATTTTAACTTTGCAAAAAGTTCATAAAAGACAGTGTGATACATTTTTCCCATACTCATTCTTAGAAAACATGTAAGCACAATGTAACTTTTTTTAAAGTTTCAATTTTAATGCAATATATCCAAAAAGATAGAAAAATTAAATATTGAAGATGCCATTTGTATTCATATTTCTCTGAATTGGAATCCATATTCATGTAGGACAGGTTGAAAAGTAACCTGTTAGGGGAAAGGAAATAGAGAAAGGGAAAACTTGTTAATGAAATAATATAAATATGATTGTGGGTGAACGCTTTAACTTGCTCAGCAAAGCATATGGGTTTTGAAAGCTTTTAAAAGCACTCTAGCGTCATACTTTTTTATATAACAACCATGAATGAGTCATCTATTTCATAAAGCAAGTCTTTCAAGATCCCAGAGATGGCATTTGATGCCAGCACAATTTTAAACTCCTCATGGGGTTCCATTACTCTAATTATGGGTAGCTTTGCCCTACAATCATTTGGTGTTAGTAAAAAAATACAAGTATCCCATATAAAGTGCAATACTCTTTCCTTGTAGTCATTAGTGTTATTTCAAGTGCTTGAAAGTAACACAATCTCTCTGTTTAAAGTGCCTCATGGTTTATATTTTTACACATTCAGAATTATTTCTGTCCCTCTGTATTCCTAAGCACTGAATTTATTGTGTGGATCAGGGATTCTGAGGTTCCGTTATAAATTATGAGGATAAAATATACCAAGACGTGTCAGAATTTGATTCCTCCTTTTGTCTAATAATGAAGATAGATGTTCTGAAATATCACATATATATTTACATAGTAAGATAGAAATAATCAGAGAAAATGGTTCTTTCTGGAAAGGAAAGCTCTGGCAATTTTTTTTCCCCCAGGACTCATTTTTATCTAAAAGAAAGGATTTCCGTTTGAACCCCACATTGCCAGTAACCATTCCACTCTAACTCATCAGCCTGACAACATTTCAATAATTCCAATGGCTGCTTGTACTATCTGTATGTGTTGGTTACTTTTCTTTTCTTGCTAAAACAAAATACCTGACACCCAGAATTAAGGAAGTGAAGGTTTATTTCACTCACAGTTTGTGGAGATTTCAGTCCATACTCAGCTGGCTCCAAGGCAGAGTGGCACATGGCAGAGGGCAACAGTTCATGGAAGAACACAGCAAAAGCAATAAAGGAAAAAAAGGGAGGAGCAGCAGTAAGCAGCCTCTTTTCCTCCCTTAGATTGAATGCAGGCTGCGTGCACAAGGGCAGGTGTAGTACTCACATGCATAATCCCAGCATTGGACCGTGAATCAATCATAAACTCTAAGGGGCTGGGGATTTAGCTCAGCGGCAAAAGCGCCTGCCCGGCAAGTTCAAGGTCGTGAGTTCAGTTCCCGGTACCGGAGAAAAACAAAACAAAACAAAAAAAAACAAAAAAAAAATCATAAACTCTAGAAGCTCGCCTCATGACTGTATGAGGCTTTGAGGGGACATCCAGACAACCATAACACTGTAGGTTGTGTTCATATTAATATCTACTAGTAAGAATTCTTAATGGACATTCATGTTTAGAAATAGTGATATAGGAAAAAAACAAAGGAACAACCAGAACCTCTTGATACCTTCAGCTTTTCCCACCAGCTTTGTTATAGCATTCTGAAAATCATTTTTTCCTCTTCTGTGGACACTTTTACATAAAAATGGGTGTTTTTTGTGATCCTTAAAATTTACAGGACTTTGGACATAATAAATAGGAATCGTACTGATTTAGTATCTTAGAAGATGGCTTGTATTCACAGAATTCACCTTTCTAGTGGAAGAGAAAACTTCATGTCCTCACGGATGTTAGATAATTCTTCAGATTTTGAAACCCAGTCCGTGCAGTTAATTTAGTGGGAAAGTTATGGTTTCTGAGTTGCTATGAATACAAAATGCTCATGAATTTTAGAAGGTGCTCCTATAATTGCATGGAGAGATCCAAAGTGCAGAAATAAAACTATGAGTCAGTAATTTCTAGCCAACAGAGAAAAGAGCATGAAAGAAAATTTTAACTGCAATTGCCTTCCTCAATACCACAGGGCTCACTGTTATTAAAGCCATAGGTCTCTGGTGCTTTCTCTCTGATTCTCATACATTTTCCTAACCAGATCCAGTGTTGTTTTGGAACTGTGGCTTCCCCACCCCCTGCTGTGGTGTGCTAACCAGGGCCCTGCAAGCAGTGGTGGGAAGCAAGGGATCTGTATGGAATTGTCAAAGTGGCTTTTACTTTACTCTCTGCCAATTTCTCTTTCTCCAGATATTAAACTTTTGGTCTTTAATAGTGTGTGTTCACCTCTTCACAACTTCAGAGTGTCAATCACTGTGCCATCTTGGAAACAAGCTAGGATGTCATTCTTTTGATCCAGATATCTTTTGAGTAAAATGAAGCATGTCATGTATAATTCTGCTTCTTTGATAAATCTCATATACAGATGTTATTATAGCTTTATAGGCAGCACTGTAAGGTAGGCAAGGAGATAGATATCATCCTAATTTTAGACATGAGAAAATAAGCACCATTATTAATTACACAGCTAGAATTTATCACTACCAAGTCTTGTCTGCCCAGAGAGAAAGAAATGATGGTTTATGCAGTTTTGCAAGAGAGACAAAAATTAACTTCATATGTAAATGTAAGACCCCATAGAAACAACTGAAAATGCAAAGTTGGAGTTTCATTCTGGAATTCCCTAGGAAACAGGGGATTCTGTCTAGGAATTCTGTCTAGGAAACAGGGGAGTTTGTCTTCTATTTGTTTCTGAAATTCAGGGATTCCTGAAAGACAGAGAATACAGACAATACTTTGCCTGGTGTAGAAGCCATCCAGGATTTTATATTTCACATTAGTGAAAATGTGCTATCTTCTAGGGTAGTGGATATTTTCATCCTCCCCTCTCCCTTTAAGGATTCATCAGCATCCCAATGTCTCCTTACTGTGTATATAACTCTGTTGCCTCAGTTGTTGCTCTTCCCCCTAAAAATAGTTTTTTGGGGAAGGATATTTTCTAAAAGGTACTCCTGGTTCACAATTGCAGGAGTTTTAACCAAAGTCACTTTTTCACTCTGCTTGGAAGACTTGGGGAAGATATCACAAGGTGGTTACATTTAGTTTTTAATTTGAAGGAGGAGTATAGGCATGCACCCACATATACCTTAGTGTTTTCGTATCTTCTCCTTCTTTCTGCCAGTCCATTGATTTTTATGTTGTTGTAACTAAAGAAAAAGTTTTCTTCTTCTATAACTTCAGAAGATCCATAGTGCATCACCACTGCACAAGGAAGAATTGCACTTAAAATATTGGATTTTGGATAATCCTTAAGATGGCAATAAGACAAATGAAATTACTACAAAAAAATCCTCTGTGTCATATACAAGTTGATTTCCTTCTCAACGTGTTTTTTTTTCTACTTTATGTTTTCCATGTGCAATACATGATATAATGTATGTGATATATCTCACATATATAAAAAAACTTCAAATTCTGGAAATTTTATTTGTTTCTGCTTTTTAAAAATACTAGTATATGAATCTTTCTACAGTTCCCTGTAGACATCCTTTTCAATCTTGAGAGGAACAGAAAAAGTTTTTTTTAACTTCTTAATTACCCATTAGAGTCTCCTTTTTTATTTTCCAGCCTGACCTTCAATTGGATTTGTGAATAATGAAGTAGTTTTCTTGGTTCATTTTAAAAATTACTTGAGACAAACTTGTCTCCTTTCCAGCAGTTCCTTGTCCTGAGTAAAGATGAAAACATTTCTTTTGGCAGAGCAGAGTTGAGCTACCTGCTGCAAAACATGACTAAAAAACATCTTGAATATTTCTATTTTATTAGCTATTAGCCATTTTATTAGCTCAGCAATGAAGACGTCATTCATATCATTCTTCCTTTCTATTTGTATTTTTAAAATGGCGGATTATATTTTCACTATATGTCAGAATCTCTGTGTATCTAAGACCATAATCTATGTTTATATTAATTGAGGCCATTCACAGTGATGGTTATAACTGACAGATATATATATATTAGCTTATCTTTGTCATGTTGTTTTCCTGCTGTTGATTCCCTACTCTCCCCTCTGTTTAATTGCTTGCCTTGCTTGGTGGTTTCTTTCTGTTGTTGTTTTTTGGAATTGTGGTCATTTTTATCTCCTTTTAGAATATCTTTTATTATTCTTTGTAGAGTTGGTTTGGTGGTCATGAAGTTCTTCAGTTGTCCTTTGTCGTGGTATCTTATTTCTCCATTAATTTTGAAAGGTAGTTTGGCAGGGTACATCAGTCTGGGTTGGAAATTGTTTGCTTTCAGGATTTGAAATACTTCACCGTAAGCTCTTTTTGACTTGGTGATTTGTGTTGAGAAGTCTGCCATGATTCTGACTGACTTTCCTTTATAGGTGCTCTGTGTCTTTTCTCTAACAGCTTTTAATATTCTGTCCTTGTGCTAAATTTCTGGTATCTTGATATTATTATATGTCTGGGTATAGATTTATTTTTGTTATGGCTAGTTGTAGTTCTATATGCCTCATGTACTATATGTCAGATTCTTTTCCCATGCTTGGGAAATTTTCTGATATTCTGTAAATAGTCTTTTTATGTCATATGTATTGACTTGTTCTTTTTCATTGATATCTATCCATCTTGCATTATATTTCTTTGTATCATCTTGCAGCTGTTGAATTGTTATTGCCTAGTTCTTTGTTATCTTTAAGATAACTTTCTTTTCATGATTGCTAGCTCTAATCCTGTCTTCAAGCTCTGAAAGTTTATCTTCAGTTTCATTCAAGTAGTTTTTCCAGCTTTTGATGGAATTTTTAATTTCCTGGATATCTGTTTGAATCTGTTTCATGCTTTATTATTCTTTCCTATGTTGTTCATTGAAGGTTTCAATCATTTTCTTATCCTCCTCTATTTTTTTTTATCTATGTCTTCTTCAGTTATGCTAAACATATATTGCATTATGGTTGTGATTTCTTTTTTTACCTGAGAGATTATTTGTGATCTTATTTCCTCTATACTTTCATGGAATTGTTTCTTTATTTAAGCTATTATCATTTCAGAAATTTCAAGTAGGTGATTCCAATTTCTTCTATAATGTCTCTTGGATTTGTTCTTGGGTTTGTACTGGAGGCCTGAGATTGCATTTTGCTACTTCATCTTGTCATTTTCTATTTCAAATTTTTTCCTTTTCTTTTCTGTAGTGATCTTTGTGAGTTTTTATAGTAGGTAGCTATATCACTAGTATCAAGGCATCTGTAGGAAAGGTCTTTTCTTCAAGGGTATCTTCTATGTGTAGGAGATTCTTAATTTGTCTCTGTCCCAAGATCCTACCTTGCTAATTAATTGAGGGTGATATGTTGGTTTCTGTTTGGCTCAGTCGTCAGTCTTTTGGTGTAAGCCTGTGGTGAGGTTATTACTCTAGAGCATCCCAATATTGTTAGAGAAGGTGGGAACAACTGATAACAACAGATATGACATCCTAGCTGTAGTAGTACAGTTAGCAATGATGATAGCATCAAGCACAATTTAGAAATTGAAAAACTGTGGTAACTATTGATTTTGTACTTTAGACCACAGGAGCAAAGTCCACAGTTATATAACAGAACCAATCATAAATTAGGAATTTGTACACAAAGTGTTTCCCCTTGTTAGAGTGGATTTACCCTGTGCTGTGGAAATTTAGGCAGAATGATGTGTAGTATAAAGATAAGTGGAAAGGAAATTGAAGCAATGCTGGAGGACAAAGCGTGGTCATGCAAGGATTGGATAACTATAGAATGGTGCAGAAAAGAAAGAATGGGAGGAATTATCTGAACTTGGTCTCTGGGTTGGTAGGAGGGATTAGAACAAGAAAAAGAAAGGAGAAAAAGAACAATATTGAGAAAAACAAAAGAAAAAAGGAAGAGATAGTAAGATAAAAGTAAAGATAAAACAAGATAAAATAAAATGATATTGTAATAAACAGGGCAGTCCTACCCACCAGCTTCTGTTCCATGTGTCTTTGTCCCTAAGCACAGTACAAGCTCACCTAACTTAGCACCTGTTGACTTGCATTTCAGAATTTTCCCTCCCACTAGTCTTGCCTATTGATCATGTGCATCCTAGTCTGGGTCCTACTGTGTGGTTCTCAGCCCCTGTGGCCTGGTCCTGAGGTTTAGGGTGATGAGTTAGGCACCTGGGTTCCTCTGGCCAAGCTGGTTGACAAATTCTGGGCTCTTCCCACACTCACTTTTTTTGAGACTGGATCTCATTATGTAGCTCAGGCATGGCTGGAACTCACTGTGTAGCCAAGGCTAGCCTTTAAATTGTGGTATTCCTCCTACCTTACCCTCTCGAGTGCTGGCATTACATTAGGTGTGTGCCGCCATGCCTGGCTTACTGTCATGTGTAACAGCACTTTTTTTCCCCTGGCAAATGTGAGAATAGAATCCAGATACATAGCGGTTCTAACACTGGGGTAGGCATTTGACCTCCTCCTTTATCTCTGGTTCTATCAGAACTGAAAACACTACTTATGAGGAGGGTGTGTCATGTCACTTTGGGTGGACAGTAATCATCTCCACATCCTTGTCTGTTTTTGTGGGTTTGTGGCACATGAAGTGTGAGTCATCACTTCATATTTTTATTTTATAAGTACAGCAGGGTTTTTGAAAGTTCTCAAGTTTTGTAGTATTTAAAATTTCAAATTATAAAATATGAACTTTTTTGTGACCAGAAAACAATTAAAGTGGTTGTCTTTGTTGGTAATCATTTCCTACAGGGAATCAAGGTAAGAATTCATTCATTTATGATATAAACAGAAATAAGCAGGTCATAGATAGCCCTTGTGATATGTGTGACACCTATTTATTACTGTAAAGGAAAGAAACATATGTAAAATTTCTTGGGAAAGCAAGGAAATGTGGTATCTTATGTTCCAAATGCTCGAGATTTACGTGCGGTCATAGAAGTGAGAAAATACATATTGCTGAGTAGTCAGAAAGGAATAGAAAGATGGGCAAAGAGAAGGTTTTCACAGGGAGGAAAGCACATTGAAGATAAGACTGTACATGGGATGTTTAATTAGAACATTCCATTACACGTACAAGCACAGGTTCATTATCTTGATTCCTTAAAAAAATGAATTTATTTTCATATGATGGAACCATCTCTCTCAGAAAGTAATAGTTTTGCGTTTTAGTTCATTTTTGCAGGTGTTAAGCTTCTTATTGAAACAGTGGTTATTGGTAATGAGTGTTTGAATGCCAAATGTGCGTTCCTTTTGTTATTTTCCAGAAACTATGAAGCCATTCTTCAATAATTTTGCTGTGGGGGGCTGGGGATTTAGCTCAGCGGCACAGAGCCTGCCTGGCAAGCCAAGGTCGTGTGTTCGATTCCCGGTACCGGAGGCACGGGGGAAGAAGATCTGCTACAATTTCGCTGGGACATGGTCAACTATTCAGGCCTCAATTAGTCATAATCTGGCTAGCAGATTTAGGCCTACATTTCAATGTCAGATTTGAATTGTAATTACCCACAACACTGGAAAAGTAATAGTTCCAATCAATTTGTCTTTATTATCACTTTATCATAATTTTAATTGCTATGTTTGTACATAAGGTTGCCGTTACCACCTGGGGCTTTCTCAGGACTCTGGAAGAATCAGGAAGCATTCAAGCATTTATATTTTGAAAAATTTCCTGTAAGAACTTTAAAATACTTTTTAAATTTTCTTATGTATTTCTCTATATCTTTAATGTATGAAATTGAGCAATTTGTTTCTAGAATTATGGATCAAAAAAAATCTTACTAAATGTTATCGGTGCCAATTTTCATTTCTTATAGATAAAAACACCCAAATCATAATCTAAAGTCTATATTTCTCAGTGTCTCTTAACAGCTTTTCTTAGGCTCTCCATATCAGAGTTTTTGACATGGATTTTGTTGAATCCAGTTTTTGAAATTTTTATTACTTTATCCACTGGATTCCTCTGTACAGATTGACAGTAACTATTCAGATTTATACAACATTATTAAGATCACTTAATCTCCTCTACCCCTGGTTATTTGAGTAACACTCTTTTGATTTTTACAGAAGTTGTATTTTTCTGTGCCTGTATCTATTTTGACATTTTTTTTCTAAATGTTCCCTGAGCTCTTTATTTTAAAATTCCACTAAAAAAAATCAAGATACAACAAAAAAGCAATTTCTCAAAGCCCACCCTGTCTCCCAGCATCCTGGGTAGCAAAGATTGTCTTACTGGTTTGCGTTGTGCTACCTGTTAGTACCCCATGTCAAGGTGAGGTAACTGGTACTCATAACAGCACTTTGGTAAGACACATATCAGGGTCCCACTATCTTCCCTCTGCTGTCCTTTTGATTTTTTTTTTTAAATAAGAGGGATACTTTATCCTCATTATGCAGTAGGTACAGAGGAATGGATGATTGGAATTTAATAAAAAAAGCTATCCCAAGTATTTAGCATTCTATCTTTATTATTTGTGAGTAAAAGACAGATAACACAATCAACTAGACAAATGACAAGAATCAAAACAGCTTTCCTTAGAAAGAAATCTCAGACTTGAAAGACCTCAATAACCAAGATTAAACGTTCCCCTGCAAGACTGTGGCAGGGAGGATTTGTCAGGCTGCAGGACACCAGTCAGTGCAATCTACCTACCTGATGGGCCACAGTTAAGTCATCCAGGTACTAATAAGATTAATTACAAACTGACAGTGGCAAATGTGTGCATGTGATTTTAACATGGTTACCTTTAACAGTCCAAGCTCGAACAGATCCCCTCCAAGCCTCAGTATGTGGTTTAATTACATGAAGCAATTCTGTACTTTGTTAGCCAACCTCAAACCTCTTCATCTGAGGGCTTAACAACAGCACGGAAGGCATAAATCAGACAGGTTATATGTGGTGGAGCGGAGATTTGAACCACAATAGTCCAGTTCAAGAGTTTATTACTCTTGTTTGCCTCTGTAATAGTACCAACTGTAGCAATTGCTGTGAGAGCTCCAAGCAGAGTCTGTCCTCTGCACTATTTCATACAGGCTTTACAGAATTCTTATAAGGCAGAGTGGTTCATACATTCAGCATACAAGTACACTGAGTCTCAGAAAAGTGAAGAAACACATGCTGACTTGCCAGTATTTGTGCTAAAACTGATACTCATAAAAAGAGCAATCAAAATAAGTCAGAAGCATTAGAGAAAATAATATGTTTCTCTATTTCTTAGTCCTCTCGATTCTTCCTTCTGTTGTGATTTCGGGGCCAGCAAAGGTGTGCTACTTTAAGTTGATTAAAAATTAAACTTCATTCTTACTATTAAATTTCACTGAAATTTGAGTCTAATCTTAATCCATGTTAATAAACTAGTGATTTATTGTGTAATAATTCATAAGGAGGCTTACAGCTTTTAAAATTTAAGGCAATTAGAGAAGAACTTTATCAGAGAATTACTTTGTAATACAAAAGTATATTGGAAATATTGAGCTATTACTTCATATTAAAAAAGTAATTGAGTTCATAAACTTTACAACTCTTTTGTTCAAGCACTTAACTTGAACATGTATAAGAACACTTTATTTTATTCTTGGCTCTTAGAGGAGCAAACAGACTCTAGTAATATTACAAAACTGAAATTAATTTCATTGTATAGTTATGAAAAAGTCAAATACAATCAATCTATTCCTATCACATTTTACATTGTATCAAATTTAATATTACATTATCCAACAATGCATGCTACTAAAACATTATTGATTCTTATTTTCAGGGATACTACGACACTATGGATGCTGGTTATATGGATGAAGAAGGCTATGTGTATGTTATGTCTCGAGTTGATGATGTCATAAATGTTGCAGGTCACAGGATTTCCGCAGGTGCCATCGAAGAGGTATTGACTAACATGGATATATCAGTTCAAGTAGTGCCCAGAAACACTGCTAAACTGAACAAATACTGAAATTAAATCATCACACCTAGAATGTTCCTAAGCTCTTCGTATATAGCAGAGGTGACATTAATCCTATATCTCACCCCTCTCACTTTCTTCTGTATAAATTTTAATATTCTTCACACCCTCTATCCTAACCACTTTCATATATTTGTGTGTGTGTGTATGTGTGTGTGTGTGCTACTGTGTTTGAACCCAGGGCCTTCAAACTGAACTACATCCCAACCTATTCTTTTATGTTTTTGCTTTTTTTTTTAATAAGAGAGCCTATATACATTTATATCTTGCTATTTACTAGTTAATTGACTCTGGGGTCTTGAATTACTCCTAACTTATCATTAGACTTGATGTGATATATATATGTGATATATATATATATGTGATATAAGATTTAAACACTTCATTGTACTCTCAGATATGAGAAATTTTGTCCTAAATTACATAAAGACCACAAAAGTTTAAAATTTACACAAAGTAAATTCTTCTTTCCTGTACAAACTTAAAATATATATATTCTTTTAACCATCACAACAGACAGACAGGATAAATAAGAATTTCAATACTGCCAAAGAATTTTCTTAAGTCTCTGGTAACTGGTTTTTACTCTGTTCCAATATTTTGGCCTTATCTACAGTTCCATATAAATGGAATAATGCACTATGGCAAACTTTTGACAGTATTATGTCATTTAAAAAATACATCTATGACACATTTACATTGTGTTGTGTATCAATAGTTCAACCTTTTATGTTGTTGTGTTGTATGCCATCTTGTGTCTTGCTAAGTGAGCTTATGTATCCATTCACCCATTTGAGGAGTATGAGTTATTTCTAACTCTGAGCAATTATAAAGAATAGCATTGCATACACTCAAGTATAGCATTTTGTGTCGAAACTGTCTTCCCTTCTTTAGGCTAAATACATGGAGCGTATTTGTTAAGTTGTTTGATAGGGATATGTTTAGGTTTGTAAGAAACTACCATATTCTTTTGGAGGGTGGCTATAATATGTAAAATAGCATAACATACTAGAAGTATGTGTGGGTTCTTATTTCTTCCTGTTCTTTCCAGCACTTCATCATTCCTTATTATTTAAACCTTTCTAAAAGGCAGCTAATATTTCCTTACACTTTTAGTTTGAATTTACATTATAAGTAATGAGGTAGAGCGTCTTTTCACATGCTTATTTTCCATGCATATATTTCTTTAGTGATATATCTGATACATTTTGCCTGTGTAACAAAATTAGCTATTTTTGCTGCACAATTTTGAGTGTTCTCTACATATATGATGTTTTCCTACATCTGATAGATCCTTTGCAAATATTTTAGCCCATGGTGAGTGTTTTTATTCTATTCAGTATTCTCTTGATGAGGGCTAATGTCTAATTTTTTTTCTTTGCAGACCATTATTTTTAGTTCACATTTAAGAAATCTCTCCTAATCCAAAGTTTCAAATATGGTTTTGTTCTTTTTGGTTTCACCTAAGGGTTGCATTGTTCTAATTTTACATCTAATTCTGTTGTATAAATTTATATTACTTTAAATTTACATTTGAGCAAATTTTTGTACCTAATGCAAGGTGTGTATATTAATAATTATTTTTAAATGGATGCTAATTTTTGCAGCAACACTTGTTAAAAAGACTGTCTTTTCTTATTGTTTCTTTCACATAGTTTTCAAAAATCAGATGATGGTAATTGAACAGGCTTATTTCTAGAGTACCTCATCTGTTTCGTTAATCATTTGTCTTTTCATGAGCAGTCTATCTTAACAGTGTACCACTATGCTGTTGGTTAAAGTAGAGTAATGTGAGTCCTCCTCACTTACCCTTCCTTTCCAATATTACTGGGGCTGTTCCGTGTTGATTTTGGCTAGGAGATTTTCTATAGTTGCAATGAATCCATGTGTGCATTTTGATTAAGATTGTGTTATACCTATAGACTTAATAGTGGCTACATAAACCATATCGAATCTCTCCATCCATGAATTTTGTGATTGCCTTCATTTATGTAGGTCTTCTTAATGCAATTCATCAATATTTCACACTTCTTAGAGATTCTGAATTTTTACATATATATAGTCAATCGATGACTATATATATATATAGTCAGTTGAACTTTGTTGATATATAGTTGTTATAGTTGATACATTGTGTCAACTTGGGGAGTCTAGAGGTTTGGCTAAGTGACTCAGCAGGAAGCCAGGGTGCTTACTTTGTATGCATCCTGAGCCTGTGGAAGAGGAGGGCATGGAAATTATGTGAGAGCTACACGCCCCTTAGGTGGGGCTAGCCTGTTTACAAAGTAAAGCAGGGAAAGAAGCTGCTTGCTGCCATTCCTCCCGTTTGCTCTGGCTGTTTACTGTTCGGCTGCCATTCCCCCCTTTGCTCTTTTTGCTTTGCTATATTCTGCCTCGGAGCCAGCCAAGTAGGGACTGAAACCTCCATAAAATGTGAGCTAAATAAACCTTTCCTTCCTTCATTTTGGGCGTTGGGTATTTTGTCTCAGCAACGAGAGAAAAGTAACCAAGACAATAGTCAAGTATTTAATTTTAGCTACTGTAAAGAATATTTTTAAAAAATGTAATAGAAATATTTCTTGCTAGGGAATAGAAAATAATATTAATTTTTGTATAATGATATTTGCATACTGATATGTGTTCTGTTAAGAAGAGTGAAAACAAATAATTTTGTGTTGTTCCTAATCTTAGGGTGGAAATATCCAGTATCTCATATTTAAGAATAGTGTTAACCTATAGGTGTCTTTGTTCTTGTCTTTTTTCAAATTGAGCACATTTTCTCGTATTCCTACTTTACTGAGTATTTTTTTATCATGAATTAACATTAAAAATGTTTAAGTGCTTTTTTCATCTTTTGATAGATGTGTGTGTGTGTGTTTAAAGTCTGTTATATGAATTCTATTAGATTATTTTAATTGTTAAATTAATATTGCATTTCTAGGATAAAACACTTTTATGATGATTTTTGTTTTATATATTGGCTTTTAAATCTATGATAATTTTCTTTGTTATAAAGAGTGCTTTATGTGATAAGTGTATTACCACTGTACCTTTTTTGAATAATGATTGCACCATTTATATTTTTTAAAGACTCAGTATGGTTTGTGGAGGTTTTTGGTAATGTTTGATTGAGTCTTGCTTTTATTTTCATCCACTGTGACAGTGTTTAGGTTGTTACTGGTGTTTTTATACCAGATAAATAACATATTGATATATTTTACTGACATTTGTTTATTTATTTTTTGAAAGAAGGTCTCACTCTGCAGTTCAGGCTGGCCTTGAACTCACTACATAGCCCAAGCTGGTCTCAAACTCACAATATTAGGGAAGAGTGAGTGCTGGGATTGCAGGTGTGCACCACCATAACCAGTTAGAATATATTTGTTTTTATATCTACTAATTTATTATTAATTTTCTCTTTGCTTCTTCTTTCCATTATATTTCTCCCTTTCATTGTAAAGATATTTCAGTTCTTTTTAATTATATTTTAGCTCTTAAGCAGGACTTAAAAATAAAAAGTCATATTCCCCAAACATCCCTACAGCTATTGTTCTTTGTTCTAGTACAGATAGAAGCAGAATCTGTTGTCCTTGTAGGTAAGAACTTATAAACTCCTGCTCCTATAACATCCTGTTATGCCTGTTATCTACATGTGTCTTTATGTTTAAAATTGATTTTATAAGCATGTAGAGTGTTGTTTTGTAATCTCTGCACATCCATATTTTATTTATTTATTTATTTATTTATTTATTTATTTATTTTTCCAGTACAGGGAATTGAACTCACGACCTTGCGCTTGCCAGGCAGGCACTGTGCCACTAAGCTAAATGCCCAGCCCCATCCATATTTTAATTGGCATTCTTATAGCATTGACATTAAGTGACTATCAAGACTGATTGCCTTATTATCTACCATATTTGTTACTGTTGGAGCTGGGGATTTAGCTCAGTGGCACAGGGTCTGCCTGGCAAGCACAAGGTAGTGAGTTTGTTTCCCAGTCCTGGAAAGAAAACAAAACAAAACCATATTTGTTATTGTTTTCTATTTGTTGCCTTTTTTCTTTGTTCCATTTTTGTCTTCCTTTGTCTGTGTTTTGTTCTTGCTGAACATTTCATAGGATCCCTTTATTATATTTGTAAAATATAATTTTACAAATATAATAATTAAATAACCTTGATTCTCCTTTCCTTGCCCTTGTATTGACACTCTCATTCCTCTCCCATATGCATAAGTTCATAGATAGAGGTCTGTCTCTGTCTCTATCTCTCTGTCTGTCTTTTACATCTATCTTTTTTCTCCTTCTAAAAATTTTTCAATTTTTGTTTGTTTGAGAAAGTCCTGCATTTCTAAAGAAACGTATCAGTACAGAAATTTAGTTTGATGATTTTCCCTCTTCTCAATAATTTAAATATTTTATTTGAATCTTTTCTGGATTATATGGTTGCTGAGGAAAAGTTACATATGATTATGATGTTTGATCCTCAGTAAGTAGGGTATTTTTTTTTCTTTTAAGATTTTTGTATATTTGATTTCCTGACATTCAAATATGATATGCTTATGTGGAAATTTTAAAAATGTATATACAGGTGCCCTGCTTGATGTTTGTTTTTTGAGATTTCTGGATCTCTGATATTTTGTGACATAATATTTTGGAGAAACTATGTCACTATTGCTTTAAATACTGCTTCTATCTGCTCTTTTCTTTCCGTGTTCTTACTACGTGTATGTATCATCTTTTGAAATATCTTCAAGCTTATGCATTTTTTTCCTCAGCCATGAGAAGTCTACTAATTAACCCATGAAAGACGTTCTTTTTCTGTGAAAGTATTTTTTATTTCTGCACTCTCTTCTGATTTTTTTTTTTTAGAATTTTCATCTGTATAACCTGTGTTGTATTTCTGATGTTTTCCACATTTTCCATC